GAGGCACTGGTAAACTGAGGCGTGATCGCCGTGCTACGACGGGCTAGGTCGGCCCATACTCGTACTGTATTAACAAACTCGTTTCCCGAGGCACAGTTCGTAACCCGATTAAAATTTTCCAAAGGAATTAAACTCGTAACCCAAAAAGTTAGTAGAGAGAGGCATTCGTAAGCCGAGGTGTCACTGTACTATTATGAGAGCATAACGCTTAATGAACAATTAGTGATACTGTATTTAATATTTTTGCAACTGATCTGAAAATATTAAATTTTCAATATTAAATGATATAATTTGTTACGGACTTGTTACCCTGGTCAGGGGGTGGCGTGGCAGTTCCAGCGCCATCTATGAGTCCGCACCCGAACTGCCCGGGAATCGTACTGAATATGGACAATGCCATCTGGTGGTGGCTATCTAAAACCTGTAAATGGATCAAGATTCTTGCCTTGGTCAGCCAGAGGGGTCGTTGTGAGCGACCTCTGGTGAGGTGGCGAGCCAAGACCAGCGCCACCTAGTGTGTGCTACAGAACACAATGTCAACTCCCCATTGGGTTAGTGGTATTCCCTAGTTTCGCCAGAATCAACTAGGTCATTGATGCCATGTCCACAGAGGTGACGTCTGGGAGCAGCGGTACTGGAGAGAGCAGTTCATCTTGGGCAGTCCATAGTCTCCCTACATGGTCCTGGAAACGACCAAGTAAGCCGCCGCCGATGAAGCAGTGTGGTAGCTGCTAGTGCTTTAGTGTTGAAAAAGATCGGCGTACCTTTGGGACTGGCTTAAGGGAGAGACTGACGACAGGGAGGTGCCTGTTGAGTAGTGCTGCTAGCTGTTCGCTAGAGACTGCTGCCAGGGGATCGCTACCCCTGTATTGGTTTGTGACCCCGCTTAGCGTGTGGCTGAGGTACTCTGCCAGCGAGTAGCTGGAGAGCGGTCGTTGTGGTACAGGCACCTCATGACACTGTCAGTGGGCTGGCCCATGTACAGGTGAACTCGCCGGTGTTCTTCCCAGTAAGGTTGGATACGCTACTGGACAGTGAAGAAATACCGGGGATTGATGAACTCTGCACATGAGCACGTTTGATATCCTGAGCGAAAGGATTGTACATAGGTGTAGTAATAGCCTATCTGTTCTTTATATATTATTTATGGTGACGGTGTACATATATATACTTAACGGTGGTGGAAAGATATTTAATACATTGACGAAAGAAACAGTATTTTGTTCATTCCCTCCTTTTTTTTATGTACTACATAGCCACTTTCTTGAAAGCATACTACCGACTTGGGGTCAGATACTATCATTTTGGTTCTACCATCAAAGAACACGGTTGCGACCCATAGTAGCCGTAACATAATTATTTTTAATTTTCTTGTTTTCCAAGTTACATTGGTGATCATTTAGACAAAGTTGGAGTGTTTGCCTAGTAGATTATGCACAAAAAAATTTAAAGCGTTAGAGCAAGTTTGAAAAATTTAACTTATGGTGCCATCGGGTGCCTGTCATATATATACGCCATGCACAGCTGAAGGGTTAATCTGCAGGCCATAGTCGCAGAGGCGAGTAAAAAGCACACAAAGATGCTTCCAATGGTCAATCGGAGAGCGCCTCGCTATTAGGTCATCAGTGTAGGCACAGCAGAAGGGTAGGTCTCCAACGACCTGATCAATGAAGCGTTGGAATGTCCGAGCTGCACTATGGGTACCAAATGGCATCCTAATAAATTCAAACAAGCCAAAAGGTGTTGTAATTGCAGTTTTGGGGATGTCCACTGGCTCTACTGGGATTTGGTGAAATGTTCGCACAAAATCTACTTTCGAGAATGTTGTTGTAGAATGTAGCACGTTAGAGAAGTCCTGAATGTGTGGGATTGGATAACAGTCTGGCAGGATGTAAACATTCAGAGCTCTGTAATCCACATAGGGACGCCATTCTCCTGGAGTTGTCTTCGAAACATATGCAGTGGAGATGCCCAGGCGCTGTCAGAGCGTCGGACAATCCCAGTAGCTAACAGCTCGTCAAATTTGTCCTTAGCCACCTGGACACACTCTGGCGGCAGTCGGCATGACTGAGTGTTTGTTGGTAGGCCTAAGGTACGAATAGGATGGGTGACTGTGTGCTTAACCTTGGCATTTGGCTGCTGTGGCTTGGTGATGTCCTCAAATTTCTTCGGAAGGTTCTGCGCGTCAGGAGTTATGCGAGGCAAGACTAACTGTTGCTCTGTACTCACCCGCTGGAGTCCACCACATGTCACATCCACCAAGAGGTTGTGATGGTGTAAGAAATTGCACCCCAGTACATTATAGGCACATGGACCTTCAGCAACACAGAAGGTTCATGTGAAGCTAACGAGGTCAGAAACCTCAAGAGTGACCACACTATCGCCATAGGTAGGTATGACAGAACTGTTGGCAGCAACCATGTCGTAGTGTGGAGTGCGAGATGGCTTGTCCGCTGGAGGGGAAAGAACAGAAACTAAAGCACCCGTGTCAACCAGGTAATGGCGCCAGGAGGTATGATTGGTCATATATAAAAGTGAATCATCCAAGGCGCTGGGGTTGCTGGCCGTTAACAGACCCTGCCAGAGTCATTTCCCGAATAAGCACATGGCTAGTGCCAGTTCCAAGCTCTACCTCCAAACCTGCGATGGTAGCAGCAGTAGTTTGGGTTGGAGTCAGCCATCAAGGACGGGCTGCAAGTGGCTGGGCCCAATATGCCCAGTGGCTGTCAAGCCACTGGGCATATTGGTGGCTCTGAATAGCATTGAGGTGTTGAGTGTTCATTGGGTTGTCACTGTTAAGTGGTCAGAGGCAAGGGTATCTCCTGACCAGAGTGAGTTGCCTGGTGCACTATGGATTCGGTCTGCAATTTTCGACATGCTCTCTCGTGTGACGTCGTCGCTCTGGGCAAGGAAGGAGTAGCATGCGAATGTGTAAGGGCAAGGGTTGTAGGAAAAGAACCCAGAGCAGGTCATTGTCACATGCTCCATTCGCCGGTCATAGCAAAAGCCATAGCATTTTTATATATTGTCAGAAAGCCTTTGATATAGTTCCTCACAACAGACTACTACACAAGATGGAGAGACAAGTAGGGATAACAGGAAAGACACTGAAATAAGCAATGCAGTACTTGATATCAGCCTGGAAAAAAAAGTAGAAACTGGTGTTCCCCAGGGCTCTGTCCTAGGACTGTTGCTCAAATTTGTGTAAACTTATCTACCAGGGGAGAGTGAACTCAGGGGAGAGCGAACTCATTCATGTCAATGTATACAGATGAATGAAGTTAATAAAGAAAGTAAGAAGTCAGGAGGACTGAAGATTGCAGAAGGAAGACCTTTACCAACTTCAGAAGTGAGCAGATAAATAATGGCTGTGGCAATTCAATTCAAATACTGTAAGTGTAAGGTAATGATGGGAAAGAGAGAAGAGACTAGTAGGAAACTACACCATAAGGGAAACTACAATAAACATTAGGAGAAAAAGACACGAGGGGCAGACATAATCGCAATACTATTACCAGACGCTCATTTGAATAGAATACTCAGTGGCATAGGGAAAGTCGACATATATAAGTATTATTTTACCTTTACAGAATATCAACTAAAAAACATAAATTTAGTTGTCGTTGCCTAAGTTTTGTATATTGGCTCACAACCAATTGGACTTTAATTCTTGGGTAGGGCAAGGTGTTTGGGGAGGTTTTCTTATACCTGTTGCTCTTCTTCACTTGAAAGTACATACTCTATATTTTACTTGGGAGCTCTTGTACAGTTATACTATATACTATACTATATAGTTATACTATATATATTGTACTATACTATATATTATACTATACTATATAATACTATATTATACTGTACTATTAAATTATACTATACTATATATTATACTATATAGTTGTGCTATATATTGTACTCGGGAGTTAGATGACAGTTTTGGGTTGTATCCTAGGAGAGATCAGCCACTGGCCTAGGGTTATTTCAATAAGCCTAACATGTTCCCTGTCCCTAACAAATTATGAACTAATAATTTCTAAAAAATATTATTCTTACAAAGAACAGAGCTTTTCAAAGTAATCATACTGTGCAACATGCACCCAGCTTGGAAAGTTAGTCTTAATGATGAAATCAGAATATGCAGCATTTCACTCTCAAGGTACAGGACCAGAGATGTGTATTCAAACATCGAGCCAATGAGCTTATTCCCAATACATCCACAATCCATTGCTCATCTTGAGACCTTGAGGTTATCTTGAGATGATTTCGGGGCTTAGCGTCCCTGCGGCCCGGTCCTCGACCAGGCCTTCTTTTTGTTGCCCCCCCCCTCCCAGGAGGCAGCCCGTAGCAGCTGTAACTCCCAGGTACCTGTTTACTGCTAGGTGAACAGATGCATCAGGGTCAAAGAAACTCTGCCCCACTTGTTTCCACCTCCACCGGGGATCGAATCCGGAACCTCAGGACTTCGAATCCAAAGCCCTGTCCACTCAGCTGTCGGGCCCCAGGCTTGGCAAGCAAGCCATTCATTATTCAGGTGATCCCAACATTAATGAACCAACTGCCAGTTCTCATTTGCCATTACAATAGAGGTAAGTAACTACCAGAAGGTAGCAATCACCATCACACTTTAGGCAGGTGTTGCTAGACTTGCAAATAAAACTGCACTTGCTTTCACATGGGTCTCTTACAAGACAATAATACCCCCTGTAGTCAGTGTGTTCCATAACTGCTGTCCTAACTTAGTTTTGGTGTGGGGGGGTTCAGAATTATTGAGCTCCATTAATTTTCACTTTGACTGTCAACTTTAATATACTGTATATTGAACAGAAAATCGTTCAAACAGGTATTAAATAAATTATAAACATTATCTTATAAAAATACAGAAGCCTGTTTATAGCTAAGTTTACATAAACATATATATGTATTAACAAAATCTTATTAAAGGCAAAGGGAAACATTACATATTAGGGAGAGGTGTCCACCGCCCCATATAACAGCCTTACCAAACACACACGCCAACTTTATCTTCTCTATAAACTCTGGCTTCAGTAAACTGAATATCGGCCATTTTTCCAGCTCCATCGTCACGCTGTGAGTCAGCATCAGTTGCACACAAACATACTAATTTCTGGTAACTATACTTCCTGCCCTCTCCAGCTGACCATGACAGCCAGAGGTTTGTTGATACTGGCCGGGGAGGAGGGTGCGCGCAGCCCCTCACGCACGCCCCCCACACCTGGCACCTCACTCTCGCCCCTCACAACCAACAGATGGCTCTGCTACTGATCCCCTTGCACCATCCAACTCTCTCCCCTCACAACCAACAGATGGCTCTGCTACTAATCCCCTTGCACCATCCAACTCTTTCCCCTCACAACCAACAGATGACTCTGCTACTGATCCCCTTGCACCATCCAACTCTTTCCCCTCACAACCAACAGATGACTCTGCTACTGATCCCCTTGCACCATCCAACTCTTTCCCCTCACAACAAACAGATGGCTCTGCTACTGATCCCCTTGCACCATCCAACTCTTTCCCCTCACAACCAACAGATGACTCTGCTACTGATCCCCTTGCACCATCCAACTCTTTCCCCTCACAACAAACAGATGGCTCTGCTACTGATCCCCTTGCACCATCCAACTCTTTCCCCTCACAACCAACAGATGACTCTGCTACTGATCCCCTTGCACCATCCAACTCTGTCCCCTCACAACAAACAGATGGCTCTGCTACTGATCCCCTTGCACCATCCAACTCTTTCCCCTCACAACCAACAGATGACTCTGCTACTGATCCCCTTGCACCATCCAACTCTTTCCCCTCACAACAAACAGATGGCTCTGCTACTGATCCCCTTGCACCATCCAACTCTTTCCCCTCACAACCAACAGATGACTCTGCTACTGATCCCCTTGCACCATCCAACTCTTTCCCCTCACAACAAACAGATGGCTCTGCTACTGATCCCCTTGCACCATCCAACTCTTTCCCCTCACAACCAACAGATGACTCTGCTACTGATCCCCTTGCACCATCCAACTCTTTCCCCTCACAACAAACAGATGGCTCTGCTACTGACACGTCCCCCCCCCCCTTGCACCATCCAACTCTCTCCCCTCACAACAAACAGATGGCTCTGCTACTGACACCTCCCCCCCCCTTGCACCATCCAACTCTCTCCCCTCACAACAAACAGATGGCTCTGCTACTGATCCCCTTGCACCATCCAACTCTCTCCCCTCACAACAAACAGATGGCTCTGCTACTGATACCTCCCCCCCCCCTTGCACCATCCAACTCTCTCCCCTCACAACCAACAGATGGCTCTGCTACTAATCCCCTTGCACCATCCAACTCTTTCCCCTCACAACCAACAGATGGCTCTGCTACTGATCCCCTTGCACCATCCAACTCTTTCCCCTCACAACAAACAGATGGCTCTGCTACTGATCCCCTTGCACCATCCAACTCTCTCCCCTCACAACCAACAGATGACTCTGCTACTGATCCCCTTGCACCATCCAACTCTCTCCCCTCACAACCAACAGATGGCTCTGCTACTGATCCCCTTGCACCATCCAACTCTCTCCCCTCACAACCAACAGATGACTCTGCTACTGATCCCCTTGCACCATCCAACTCTCTCCCCTCACAACCAACAGATGACTCTGCTACTGATCCCCTTGCACCATCCAACTCTCTCCCCTCACAACCAACAGATGACTCTGCTACTGATCCCCTTGCACCACCCAACTCTCTCCCCTCACAACAAACAGATGGCTCTGCTACTGATACCTCCCCCCCCCTTGCACCATCCAACTCTCTCCCCTCACAACCAACAGATGACTCTGCTACTGATCCCCTTGCACCATCCAACTCTCTCCCCTCACAACAAACAGATGGCTCTGCTACTGACACCTCCCCCCCCTTGCACCATCCAACTCTCTCCCCTCACAACCAACAGATGACTCTGCTACTGATCCCCTTGCACCACCCAACTCTCTCCCCTCACAACAAACAGATGGCTCTGCTACTGATACCTCCCCCCCCCTTGCACCATCCAACTCTTGTCCCTCACAACCAACAGATGGCTCTGATACTGAGTCCCCCCCCCCCCTGCACCATCCAACTTTCGACCCCTCACAACTAACAGATGGCTCTGCTACTGATACTCTTGCACGATCCAACTCTCGCCCTTCACAACCATGAGGCTAGATTTTTTAGATGGCTCTGCTACTATTCTCATATCCTGTCCCCTCCCAATCCTTGCCCGTACATCAGCAGCACATGAGCGCGCAGCCCATGCTACATGAGCGGCGGGCGTTTTTCCTCCATACAGAAATCTTTCCGCTTTCCAAGCTATATCTCATTTATGGTATCTGTGCCTAGGGATCTACTACCCTTAATTACCTCTGACACCTAATTACTCAACAATAATCAGCAATATTGATTTTACGGTAAGAACACAATAAGTGGTATATGCAGATGATGTTCTAATACAAGCCCCAACCTTGGGAGAAATTAAACAGTCCATTGAACTCCTTGGAAGAAAATGAATTGAGCTAGATTTCACTCTCTCCACAAACAAGACAAAAGCATACCCCCATCACAAGCGGGGAGAAAAGGAAGATCTACAAATTAATGGTGTAACACTTGAATGGGTTGACCACTATCGGTACCTTGGCGTCACTGTCGTTTTAGTTTAGTTCATTTATTATGCACCCTATACCCATCTTGTGCGCGGTAGTGGAAAGGGTTACAGAGGCACATAATGGGCTCAGGGACTGAACCACTGTCGGCTCTTAAGATTATGGTTCTTGAAGGAAAAAAGAACCAGACAAATCCTCATCTGCTTCATAACATTGCACAGATGCCTATAGAAGCAAACTTGGCATCCGACAGCTTCACTTACTTCATAGATGGATCAGTAGACCAGCAGGGACAAAAACCCGTAGCTGCAGTTAAAGCAGGAAACTATGTAAATAGTTGGAGACTCTCAAATGGGTGTTCGCCTTTACAAACAGAGATGCTAGCCATTCAAAAGGCTTTGGAACATGCTCTTGCTGAACACCGACAACATGTTATCATACATACAGATTCGAGAACCGCCATTGAAACCTTGCAACAAGAACACATATGTGATAACATCCATCTGATCACAAATGTCATATCATTAATGCAAACACTCAAACGACAAGGCCGTCGGGTATTTATCAACTGGGTGCCAAGTCATGTGGGAATAATAGGAAATGACATAGCAGACGAAGCTGCAAAACTTGCAACTAAGAGAAGAAATGTAGACATTTACATAGCACAGAGTCTATCACAGATTAAGAAAGTAACTAGAAACAGAGCAATGCAAAAGATGTACAGTGACCACAACACAGCAGTTGCAACATCAGGATCTGCGTGTTAGTACAAGAATTCAACCAACTACGAACCACTTACTTTGATGAAAGGGAGCAGTAGAACAAGTACAGAAGTACACTTACATCGCATCAGGCTTAATTGGATACCCATCTGCATGGGAAATAGGCTTACAGCTTCCGGAAGATGAAAGGAAATGTCAACACTGTGGAGAAATGCCCGACAGACCACTGGAACATTATCTAACACAGTGCACAGTTACAAACCCATTAAGATTTTAACTTAAATTCAACAGAGCAGAAGTTGTTAAACACATGGGACAAAATCTTACTGAAGCGACCATACGAGTCATAAATACTCATACTCCGCCCAAGTAAAAACAGAAACAAACAACACTTAGTGGGCCAGCCAGAGGCTTATAGGCCCCGCGCAGGAATATCCCTGAAAAAAAACTGTCGGCTCTAACAAGGGGAAAAAAGAGGAGCTCAACCAGCTCATAGGAACGTGCAAAAGTCGACTCAGGGCACTGAAAGCTATGACCTGGAATGGACATGGAACCTCTATTGTCACCCCGACCACTGATAGTCCAAGTGGTCGGGCCCTGATAGTCCAAATGGTCGGGTCCTGATAGTCCAAGTGGCTGGGTCCTGATAGTCCAATTGGTCGGGCCCTGATAGTCCAAGTGGTTCGGGTCCTAATAGCCCAATTGGTCGGGCCCTGATAGTCCAAGTGGTCGGATCCTGACACACCAAGTAGTCGGGGTCCCTGACAGTCCACGTGGTCGGGTCCCTGACAGTCCAAGTGGTCGGGGCCCTGACAGATCAAGTGGTCGGGCCCCTGACAGTCCAAGTGGTCGGGCCCTGACAGACCAAGTGGTCGGTCCCCTGACAGACCAAGTGGTCGGTCCCCTGACAGTCCAAGTGGTCGGGGCCCTGACAGACCAAGTGGTCGGGGCCCTGACAGACCAAGTGATCGGGCCCCTGACAGACCAAGTGGTCGGGGCCCTGACAGACCAAGTGGTCGGGCCCCTGATAGTCCAAGTGGTCGGGGCCCCTGACAGACCAAGTAATAATAATAATAATAATATAATATGTTTATTCAGGTAAGGTACATACATATACAAGTGATGTTACATTAATGGATCAATATATAGAAAGAGCTAGTACATACAATGCCTAAAGCCACTATTACGCAATGCGTTTCGGGCAGGAAGAACATTAATATCTAGAACTTAATACTAATTGAGCATAAAGAATAAAATGTGTTGAGAACAAATACAAATAAAGATAAAAAAAAAGGGGGGAACATGACTGAAAATGTACAACACGATCGGGTGAAAGTGGTCGGGGCCCTGACAGACCAAGTGGTCGGGGCCCTGACAGACCAAGTGGTCGGGCCCTGACAGACCAAGTAGTCGGGGCCCTGACAGACCAAGTGGTCGGGGCCCCTGACAGACCAAGTGGTCGGGCCCTGACAGACCAAGTGGTCGGGCCCCTGATAGTCCAAGTGGTCGGGGCCCCTGACAGACCAAGTAGTCGGGGCCCTGACAGACCAAGTAGTCGGGGCCCTGACAGACCAAGTGGTCGGGGCCCTGACTGACCAAGTGGTCGGGCCCCACTATAGGAAGCGTGGCGCCGCTCACTTGTCCGGGTGTGGCGGGAAGAGTGCGGCAGTTCACAAGTGTTGGGGGCTGAGGACACTACGCCCAGGACCTCCACTCTACCCCAGGCCCCACACACACCCAGGGCGCTCCTCACCATGGCCATCACCAGGTCCAGGGCCCTCGTGGTTACATTCGTGGATAATAATGCAGTCGAGAAAATTGTCAATATAGGCTGCAGAAATACAGGTGATTTTGTTGTGGAGTTGTGGGCCTTTAGTGTTGTTAGGGGGGGGGGGTTGCTGTATGTGTAAACATTTAATTAAATGTCACAGTTCCAGCTTGATGATAACATGTTGAATATGTCAAACGTAAGGCATGTCAGTAGCTAGGACGGCGCTAAAAGTAAAGTAAAATACACAAATTTAGGTTAATTATATAGACATAATTTTAATGCAATGGGCTTTAGCATACAATCTCAATCTAGTTATTGTTTTTATTGTTTTGTTTTTATTTTATTTATTCTCTATATACACGAGTGGTTACATTTTGTAAATTATACCTAATGAATTGATCAAATAGGGCTCCTGTGCCAGGTAAGTCCACTACGGGCTCACTATAGCCTGTGCTACTTGGAGCATTTTGGTCTGAGTAGTTGAATCCAAAACAACGTGCAGAATGTCAGTTTGTATATTAACTGGTTCAGTGGGTCCGTCTAATTACCAAAAGCTACACAAAGCTTCCTGGCAATACGTTAGTAATGAATAAATATGATATATTAGGTTAGGCTGACCTAACCTAACCTATCTTAACCTAACTTAACCAAACCAAACCTAACCGAAGCTTGGATCGTCAACTTGATTTGGCATTACAGGTACCAACTTTTTATTTTCGTCTAATTTCTTTATAAAAAGATACTTTTTCAGATTAAAATTGTTTTTTCGTGTTGTACATTCAGCACCAACATTATAATGAGTAAATATATCGTATTTATTCATTACTAACGTATTGCCAGGAAGCTTTGTGAAGCTTGTGTAGCTTGTGGTAATTAGACGGACTGGGTTCAGTGACTAGTTGGGGTATTGTTTCGAACAAAAGACGATTTGACAAAGTTCGTTTTCTGTTTGTTAGAACCATTTTTATTGCTGTGCTAGGATGTATTAGCTTAGGTTAGACTGTGTTTTGCTTGGCTGGGCTGGGCTGGGTTAGGTTACCTTACCTTGGGGTGTTTTTGGGGCTTAGCGGTCTCGGTCCCCGACCTGATTTCCTTCTTACTGAACTGGTCAACCAGGCTGTTGGACGCGGCTGCTTGCAGGCTGACGTGTGAATCACAGCCTGGTTGATCGGGTATCAGGATTAGGTAGGGTTCAAAATCTGTTGGCAAATCGTCTTGTGTACGATGTGACTTGTATCTGACTAGTTGCCCTAATTTGCAACTCTCCTTGCCTAACTGAATTTAATTTTCAAAGTCTTAACCTCAGCCCATCTAATTGAACTTCTGTACTGTGCCAAACGTGCCACATCAAAACCACAAATTGACATTGAATGTGAATTCACAATGAGACAAATAAGAAGCAAAATCAGAAATATTCAGGCACAGGCAGGAGTGGAGAGGAGAGGGATAATGTATGAGAGAAGTCTAACCATGCAACACTACATGTATGTGAGTCAAAACACCCTTTTCACTTATGGTAAAAGGAGAAATGCTTGGAGTGACTCTGTGTACATGCGACTCAGGCTTGGGTACAAATATTACTGGGAATATGGGATAGGCGTTCATGATAATGACACGAAGTGTAAACTATGTGGTATGTTAAGGTCTCACACCCTTGCCCATTATGTTCTTGATTGTCCGTTGATTAATGTATATAGAAACACTGAGATAAGGACTGTTCCTGAGCAAATAGCCTGGATGTGTCACAAAGGAAAGGTTGATGATATTCTTGAGATATAAGAATTTTGCACCAAGACTGTAATATTTTGTTGAATTATCCGTATAACTAGGTCATAAAAGTATTTGTGTACGTCTGATACCATACCACTTGTGAAGGAGGAAATGTACATGTTTATCTCTCAGAATGTTTGGTAACAGGTTTATTGTTTGTGATGTGTGTATGTATGTACTAACACGTTGTACTGAACGGGGTGAGAATAGCTTGAGCTACCTCATCCCTTTGTGTGTATTTTACCTCAATAAACTTATTTCAATTCAATTTCAATTTCTGTACTTATGATTTTTAACATATCTTAAAGCATATAAACATTTAAACATATCTTATCATCATCTTGCTGAAAGTGCTATATTTTTTGTGCAATTGACCCAGGCATAAAATTGATGTAGCTTAGGGAAATTGAAACCCCTTAGTATTAATTAATACTTATGGACTAATGAAATTACCTGAATTTACTAGAGTAATAATACTGAGTAAAGTATGCAAAGTATGACCTTTTTTCCAGGATAATTTATGAATTGTCTGAATAATGAACTTGCACTTAACCTAGGACTTATGGACAGAGGCTCATGGGGTGTGGTAATATTTGGAGTCATGATATGTATACAGTACAGTATATACAGTACTATATTTGACTTTGCTTCTATAATTCTGGGTAAAATAACATGTCCAAATAATACAGCTCTTCATGGAACTAACGTAAGTGCATAGAATCCCATGTGCTTATAATTACCATCACTGGGAACATGAAGCCTGTTTGACCTTCAGGGGAACCTCTATACAAACCTAAAGTAACGAACTACTGAGCCTCTCCAGTGTGCAACCCTCATTCATCAGTTGCTTAACTCTAGGGTATCTATTTACTGCTAGGTGAACAGACCTTAGGTGAAAGGAAATGTCCAACCATTCCTGTCCCATCCAGGAACTGAACACAGAAATCCATTTTTTTTATTTATATATACTGTACAAGAGTTCTTACATTCTTGTAAAGCCACTTGCACGCATAGCATTTCAGTCCTTAATCCTAATTTTTTCCCTGGAATATGACCTGCCAAAATGTTTAACAACCAGGTACCCATTCACTGCTTGGTGAACAGAGGTTACAGTTAATGATTGGCACCTGATCAATCCTTCCCCGGCCAGGATACGAACCCAGGCCAAAGCACTTGCAAAGTGCCGTGCGAGTGCTTTACCACTACGCCACGGTGACTGCAATTATGTCTAATGTACACACGGTCCTAAGAGTAGGATTTTGTGACTTCATTCTTGACTGAAAATAATGTGTGTTGGGTACAGACAACAGGCATCCTGTGTAATATATTACAGTTAGGAATTCTGGGTCCAAATCCTGGGTGGGGCAGAATGGTTGGGCACATCTCCTATCATCCAGTACCTCGGTTCACCTAGCAGTAAATAGGTATCCAGTAATTAGCTGCTTGTGGAGTTGCATCCTATGGAGGGTCAGTAGTTCAACCTTTGTGGGGGGGGGGGGGGGGGGGCTTGATTAAAGGGAGCATAACTGCGTTTCTTATAAGTTGTTTAATGTCGGCTAATCTTTTTTGACTAGTTGTATATGAAAAGAGCTGCAATTGTTCCAAGTTTCAGTATTGCAGCCTAAATAGAAAGGGAGATTTTTTTTTTGTTTTTCAACGAATTTTACACATTTTCAAATCAAAAGTACAACCAAAAGTTTCAAATGAAATCATTTCTATGACACTTTTCTATCACATTAGCATATAATAAAAGGATCTGTTTAGCGAATTTATTTTACTAATACAAATAGTCAATGTTCCATAAAAAATTATGCAAATATATCATGGTTTATTACTATTATAAAATCAATAAATGAACTTAGTAAAAAATGCATTTTACAGATTTGTAGAGACATAAACTCTATAAGGTGTAAGATTCATGTACAATATATTGAATTAAAAATGAAAGTTATAAAACGTTTATGTACTTGAAAATACATAAGTAAAAAAATAGTGTAAGGTTCTGCCATCTGTGGCTGAGGTTGACATAAACCAATTTCCTCCAAAATTGGCACCCTTACAGATAGGCTTACATGCAATCAGGTGTATAAGTTTCATGGAAATCGTCCAATAAACAAATAAGAAAAAAAGGGAAAAATCTATTTTTTTAACTAAATTTTTTTGTTATAAAACTAATTATTAAATATTTTTATTATATGCTATTGTGATACCTGAGAGTCATAGACATGATTTCAGTTGATACTTGTGTTTGATATTAATTTTTGACCATTTTGGAAATTTTTGGACACAATTCAATATTTTTTTTCTCCCTTCCTATTTATGCTACGATGCTGAGACTTGGACCAGATGACACCCTTTTCATATACAACTCGTCAAAAAAGTTTGAATGAAATTGAACTAGTTTTCATTTATTGCATATTTGGCACTTATGCCCCTTAAGGCTAACTTGTATATATACACAGGCTGCCTGTCCCCTGATAAAATTAATTACCGTATATACTACACAGTATATCTATAAAATATTTCATTGGAATACAAACCTGCAAGGCCAGGGATCACCCAGATGGCTACCACAGTACAGTACTAATGCCATTACACCAGCACATACAGTATATATACATATATATAATAATAATTCATTGTCAGGGGACAGGCAGTCAGTCAGTGTGTATTCATACACGTTAGACTTATATCGAGGTTCCCCCAAAGTCGAATTACTGAGCCCGCCTAGGATGCAACCCCACAACAAGCTGACTAATTCCAGAGTACCTATTTACTGCTAAGTGAACAGAAGCATTGGGTGATAGAAAATGCACCCAACTATTTCTGTCTTAGCCAGGATTTGAACCCAGAATTTCCGGGTTCGAACCCGAACCCAGAAGAACCCAGAGATTCGTAAGTTGGGAACGAACCCGACTGTATTACCGTGACCTTAAGTTGCTATGTATACCCTGAGCTATGTATATTCACACAGTACCATATATATTTACTGCTAGGTGAACCAGGTAAATTCGGGTAAATATATAAGCTATTAGGTTACATTGTGTTGGTTTTGTTTTGATGTGTTTATTATCATGTTTCAACTTAAAATAATAGTAAGACATAAATGCTTGGAATTCGATGATTCCAACTTGGATATTAAGGTAAAATGTAAAGAATGAGTAATTTACCGGTTATATATTTTAGTATCCAGTGGGGCGGGCTGGAATATTTGCTTTAAAATTTTGTAATGTTCGAATGGGTTTCTTGGTTTGAACATAACTAGACATTAATTTGCCACTCCTGCTAAGGTTATATCTATTCTCTCTTTACAGCTATATAAGAAGCAGAATATCAAAAGAGGGAGGATAAACTAGTGTTAGTAATATATAACCCATAGTGTTATAAACCCAAGGAACCACCAACCAACCAAAGCTGTAAAGGCCAAAACTCAGTTGAGTTTTAAATTCTAGGTTGAAAAAATCAAAACAAATGGAGGGGACTTTAACAAGGCTTCCTATCCTCAACGAGGCCACTAGAATGGCCCTTGGGTAAATTCAGGAAAGTAAATAGAGTTCTGTAGTGCAGTACATGTGGGCCTACAGGCCGATCCAAGCAACAGCCTGTTGGCCTAGCCTGGCTCCGAGCCCGGCCTCAGGCCGGGCTCGGGGAATAGCAGAACTTCTGAGACCCTCTCCAGGTATACTGCAGTCATCTGCATCATCGGCTCAAAACTGAGGGACCCGAGTTCATTTCCTGTATCAGGACACATTTGGGCAATGTTTCCTTTTATTTGATACTTCCATTCACCTAGCAGTAAATAGCACTCAGTAGTTAGACAATTCTTGTGGGTTGCCTCTTTGCAGAAGGTCAAGAGTTGGCCAAGGGGGGACATCAATTGACCTGATGACAGGCTTCCTGTCCCTGGCAACAGGAAACAGTATGGTTGCTGCAATCAGTACTTTTTGGGTCAGAATGTTTCTGCACATGTATTTTCAAGACAGTACTTTTCAAGACAGTATCTTTGGTACGATTAATGTTATTAGTCTGTAGTACAGTATATTTGTGGAAAGGAATAGATTTTGATTTTTTGTATATTAAGTTATAGATTTAGATTATAAAGTATAAGGCAATTGTTTATCCTGTCAGTAACATCTGCTACCGATTTTCCAGTCACACTGGTTCCCCTCTCACAACGTGGCCGTGGCAGATCTTCTAAAGGCTCTTGGATATCCACTGGGGCCAATGTAGAATTACCATTACTTCAAGAAATGGATGAGGAAGCCAGTGATATTATTTCTAAGCCAACAGGTTTGTAAAGTTTTCTAAAGTTATTACTAATCTAATGACTAGATATGCTTTAAATATTATCTCAGATAAAAATTTATTTTCAACACAAATTTGTTGCACACTTTTTGTACTAGAATTTCTTTCCATTTTAGTTTATGCTCCTATTTATAGATGGGCTGAACAGTGGCTCCCTGTAGGTAGCCACGCTGAGATAGCTACAGGCCTATAAGTCACATCAACCTTTGAGTCTTTAAAAACCTACCCAAGACCAAAACCTGGACCCCTCACAGAGGTGCAGGGAGCAGGGGATTCATGATCACCCTCACTGAGGAATCGGACAACTGCAAGATTCACGAAGTAAACAATGCAGCAAATGACACAGCAAACAGTCCACCAAGTTGTTAGGTCATAGATCCTTAGTTACAGCTGGCAGCACCATGAGTGCTGCCAGCTCAGCATATTAACAACCATTAGGCCTTCACCGAATTTCAGACTTGTTTGCCATGAGTTTTCCAATCTCAGATTTTGTAGATTAGTAATTACCTAAGTGTAGTTACAGGATGAGAACTACGCTCGTGGTGTCCCATCTACCCAGCACTCTATCATATAACACTTTGAGACTACTGACGGTCTTGGCCTCCACCACCACCTCACCTAACTTGTTCCAACTGTCTACCACTCTGTGAAAGTGAATTTTCTTATATTTCTTTGGCATCTTTGTTTAAAATCTATGACCTCTTGTTCTTGAAGTTCCAGGTCTCTGAAAATCTTCCCTATCGATTTTATCAATTCCTGTTACTATTTTGTACATAGTGATCATATCACCTATTTTTTTCTTGTCTTCTACTTTTGGCATATTTAATGCCTCTAACCTCTCCTCATAGCTCTTGCCCTTCAGTTCTGGGAGCCACTTAGTAGCATGTCTTTGCACCTTTTCCAGTTTGTTGATGTGCTGCTTAAGATATGGGCGCTGCATATTCTAACTTTGGCCTAACAAAAGTCGTGAACAATTTCTTTAGTATTTCCTCATCCATGTATTTAAAAGCAATTCTGAAGTTAAAAAGAGTGGCATAGGCTCCTCGCACAACTTTCTTTATGTGGTTCTCAGGTGATAGTTTTCTATCTAGAACCACCCCTAGATCTTTCTTTATCAGAATTCTGTAAAGATTTCTTACATAATTTATAGGTTGTGTGGGGTCTATGTTCTCCTATTCCACATTCCATAACATGGCATTTATTCACATTAAATTCAATTAGCCAAGTGGTGTTCCATATACTTATTTTGTCCAGGTCTTCTTGAAGGGCATGACAATCATCTAAGTTTCGTATCCTTCCTATTATCTTAGCATCATCAGCAAACATGTTCATATAATTCTGTATACCAACTGGTAAATCATTTATGTAGACAATAAACATCACTGGTGCAAGAACTGAATCCTGTGGTACTCCACTTGTGACATTTGTGACATTTCTCCAGTCCGATATATTGCCTGATTACTGATTACTGCCCTCATTTTTCTATCAGTCAGAAAATTTTTCATCCATGTTAGAAGCTCACCTGTCACCCCTCCAATATTTTCCAGTTTCCAGAACAACCTCTTATGTGGAACTCTGTCGAAAGCCTTTTTTAGGTCCAGATAGATGCAGTCAACCCAACCATCTCTTACCTGTAAAATCTCTGTGGCTCGATCATAGAAACTGAGTAAATTCGAAACACAGGATCTTCCAGATCGAAAACCATACTGTGTGTCTGATATCATTTCTCTCCAGGTGTTCTATCCATTTAGTTTTTATTATTTTTTCCAATATTTTGACTACTGTATTACACTTGTCAATGATACAGGTCTATAATTGAGGGGGTCTTACCTGATGCCACTTTTGTAGATTAGAACTATGTTAGTCTTTTTCCACACATCTGCAGGGATGCCTGAAAGATCAGGTGAAGTGGAATGCTGAGCTCAGATGCACATTCTCTCAGAACCGATGGTGAAACTCCATCTGGGCGAACTGCTTTGTTCTTACTTAGCTCCTTTAGCATATTTTCCACTGCATCTCTAGACACCTCTATACGCTCTATGTTCTGTGGAATTCTTATTGTCTGGTTCTCTAAAGATTCATTTTGTACAAACACATTTTGGAACTTTTTGTTTAATGTTTCACACATTTCCTTTTCATTTTCCGTGAAACTGTATCCCATTTTCAACCTCTGGATATTATCCTTTACCTGCAATTTGTTGTTTATGAATTTGTAGAATAGGCCCGGTTCTGTTTTACATTTATCCGCTATCCCTTTTTCAAAATTTCATTCTGCCTCTTGCCTTACTACCGTATAGTTGTTTCTTGCATCTTTGTATCACTGGTATGTTTGAGGGTTTGGCCTCTTCCTATACTGATTCCATTTTTGTGTCTTTTGGTCTCTGGTCCTCTCACAATTTCTGTTGAACCAATCCTGTTTTCTGGCCCTGCATCTCTGTTTTGGTATGAATGTTTGTGTGCCTTCATTGTATATTTTGCAAAATTTGGCATACATTTCATTTCCTTCCCTGCCAGCAACAAGTGTCCAGTTACTCATAAAATTTTTTTTGAAGTTCCTCTGTGACTTCTCTTTAAATCGAGTTTATCAACTGTTTCAATGTCTCCATTTTCTCCACCCACATCGACTGATGCAAAATAGTTAGGGTATCCATATCAGCCATGGATAGCTCCGGGGAGCCTCTGGAACTCACCCAGAAAATGGCGTTTCATTACATTCAACGCTGGTTTTTTAGCTGTTTTTCTTATATTTCATTGATGGGAACGTCAGATCACTTGATGTTCCCAATTTTCTGATGGGAACATCAGACCATTTGGGAAAGTATCGGACGAGGGAGTGTGGAATGGTGGGGAGGACGACGGACGGAAGTGAGAGATGGTGGGAAGGATGAGGGGACAAATGAAGGGGTAATGGTGGGGAAGGATGATGGGACGGGGAAGTTTGGGATGGTGGGGAAGGATGATGGGACGGGGGAGTTTGGGATGGTGGGAGCGAGAGGATGGGGGAATGGAGAATGGTGGGGAGGACAGAGGGACAGGGGTGTGGGGCATAGTGTGAAGGAAGAGGGGATGGTGGAGTGGGGAATGGTGGGGAGGAGGAGGGGGACGGTGGAGTGGGGAATGGTTGCGAGGCCGAGGAGACGGGTGAGAGGGGAATGGTGGGGAGGACTGGGGGGACAGGAAAGGTTGCTGTGGCTCAGTAACGCACATGCGTTGCTGAGCCACAGCAATGCGTGGCCGGGTACTGCTAGTTTTAAATAAATAACAAATAAACAAAAAAACACATTTGCTTCTGTGGTGTGAGTATGAGGAGCAAGCATTAAAATAACAGAAAAATTATCAAGTAAAATATAAACTAATTAAAACAGAATAAATTACTTTTAACACTTGTACACATCTTGTGCACTAAAATATAACACAAATGAACATAAAAAAAAAATACTGAAAACAACTCTTTGGAGTCTGACTTTGGAGAAAGATTTAAACAACTTAAATACAACAAATTTAACTACATGATATGTTACCAAACACCACAACCCGAAAATGACCTGCTGTGGCAAATCAGTAACAAGGTGATGTTCACATCTGGAGCACCTGACAATGAGTAACTTGCAACATCTGGTTGCCTCTATATCGTATATACAATTTTCCTACTGTTTGGACTGTCAACGCTGACTCTTTCGGTTGGCTCTGCCGGACTTATGGACTCCCAGAAGTGAACCTCTTTGCATTGACGTGGTCTTGGCATCTCCCAATGTATGTGGTACCCATTTTCCCAAACTGCAAGGCTGTCGTGGTGGATGCCTTTCGGCAGGACTGGTAAAGGTGAGGTTACCTGTTTCTCTTCCCCCAAGGTCCATCTGTTGCTTCGAGTTCTGGCTCAGTTGGAGTCCTACCACAGGAGAGTAGTCCTCGTGACCCCTTGTTGGCTGGCCCAACCTTGGTTTCAGGCGCCGCTGGCTCGGTGTGCGAACCCGGCGCATTTTCCGTGGCTCCGCCTCTTCTTGCAGGTCGAACCAGTCCAGTACACGGCTGGTTCAGGCTTCTCCGCTGCTTTTCGCGTCTTGTCTTTTTGACGCGGGTTTATCATAATTTGTATGATCAGGGGCTTCATTGATGGTGTCCCACCCGAGAGCTTCGTCTAGGCGACAGTATGAAGTTTCCTGATATTCGTTCCCCCATTTTCTCTTTCTTTTTTTTTAGGTTGTCTTCTATTTCTGATCCTCCTCCTGGTTGGTGGTTTTCGCATTGTTTGATAGTCTCCGAACTGGAATGGTTAGGTTGCTGGTGCGGGGGAAGGGGTCTTGGGCTCCCCCCCCTCCCCCTCCCTGGGGCTGTGTGGATGATCAACGCGGCGATGGAGTGTGTCGTTTGCTTGTTTCCTTGGGATTGGAGGGAGTTGTGCCTCTGTTCAGTTTTCGGTTGCAATTTTCTTACAATGTTGGGTCTGTTTTGTTATGCCTACCTTTCTGGGTGCCTAACCCCGGTCGATGGCAGATAAGGAAAACTCCTAACCACGGGGGTTTTCCAAGGCCATTGCTCCCTGTGCCTCTCTGAGAGGGGCCAGGTTCTGGCTCGTGGTCCCCAGTAGTCTGAACTCCATAGACATAGCTCTGGTCTAATGAATTGCATATTAGCCCGATAGCTCCATGGAGCCTCCGGGGCTCACCCAGAAAATGGTGTTTCATTACATTCAACACTGGATTTTTTTTCCTCGCTATAGGGATGTCAGCATTTAACAGTTGCAAGGGATGAGGAGTGCCCTAGGCTTAATTTGCTTATACTGTACACATGATACACCACTGATGCCCTTCGTAATGGTATTTCCTATGAGCTGCATTCAATGTCAGTTCTTTTCAATGAACCTGGGTGCTCATTGGTGAAATTTTCAGACACCTAGTGCCTGGGTGTCTGGTTCTTCCATTTGGTGGTGGGGAAGTGGACCTTGCAGTTGAACTATCTCTCATTTTCTGCTTTAATTTTATCTTGCTGTTGACTGTTTACCTTTGCTCTACCTTTCTGGTGGCTTTCTTGGATTTCTTGGTTAGTGATCTAGCAGCCTCTATTCTCTGCATCACTGAGGGGACCAGGTTTTGGTCTCTGATCTCCAGTAGGGTTTTAATGGCTTGTAAATGGTTGGACCTTTGACAAACTGCTGGCTTTCTGTCCTCATAAAGGCCACTAGAAGGTTTTGGCCCCTTAGGTAAATTCAGGCATGACATGTGTGGAGTTATCCTTGTGGAAGGTCAAGTCCCAGATTTACACAGTAAAATAATATACTGGGGTGAATAATGGGGCAGAAAATGCAGAATAGTGCCAATGAAGAGTAGAAGTGGAATAGGCACAAATTAGAGAATACAGTACTGTACAAATATTAGAGGTCCACGGCTGTTTAGTATACTTCCAGCAAGTATGAGAAATGTTCCTGGAACAAACGTGGACTTTTTCAAGAAAAAATTGACAATGTCCTGCAAGAAGTGCTGGGCCAAATGATTGTAGTGGACATGTGGACCTATAAGTCTGTTGGGTCAAACTCTCACAAGTCGAGCCAGGCCACGCTTGGGAAGTAGAACTCTCGGAACCCCCCTCAAGGTAAGATCCATGCAAGGTGGTTAGTAACTGGAAGCCAAATAGGACCCACTACAAAGAGGAGTTTCATTACATTCAACTCTGGTTATTTATAGAAGATGTATATTCATTTTAAATTTCCATGTTTTTTTAGTGTGCACATTTTATTAAACAGTTTTGTTTCAGAATTACTTGAAGATGGAGAAGACCCTCTCAAAGGTAGCTCTGTGTTTGGATTTCGTACTCCAAAGAAAAAATGGGGCATGCTGGAGAAGGCTGAATCTGCTAAGAAATGTGAATCCCCAACAACGCCGAAAACCCCCAAACCATCACTACGACAGTACCCGAACACTCCCAAAACTCCCAGAACTCCAAAGACACCAAGTTCAGGTACAAGAGGTTTGGCATAAGAGCGCCTCTGTTTTTTGTATATGAAAGTGGTCATGTTTCTTTCAATACTGCTTTGTTAGTACTGGTACTGTAATATCTCATCATTTATTATACACATTATATAGATTATATTTTGTGAGTGAAGTTACTTTACAGTATATTATGCTCCTATCTAAATGGTTACATCATAATTTATCTTAAAATGTACAGTGGTACCTCGCATAACGAATTTAATCCGTTCCATGTTCGTCATGTGAAACAGACGTCATACAAAACGAGTGTCCCCCATGTAACCAGTGTGATGCACTGTGTTTATTGTGAAATTTCCCTAGTGTGCATGACATCAAATGTTCCCCAAAATATAATTTTTCTTTGTAAAATGATAAATTACCGTCCCTGAACATGTCTCTGTAAAAATAATTACCAAATTCCACTTTGGCTGTGAGGGCGTGGACAAGGTGCACTGTGACGTCATCAGGGCCTGGTCGCCCGTGTGTGAAGCTCCCAGACACGGTCGCGCGGGCCATTCAAGCACCGCGTGTTGCCACAAATATATTTTCAAATATTTTTTCTATGCATTTCCAATGCGGTTTTATTTGTTTCTTTTATCGTATATGATGCATATTTGTGACCTTTACAATATGTATACAGTAGAATGTTCATAATTTTCCATGAAACTGTGATACATGTGTCAGTAATGTGTCCACAATAAATGTTTATTGTCACAATATTACGTGGTAAAAATTCACTAATATTACAATATGTACAGTTTCACATACTATTTACACAGTAACACACTGTATTACACACTCAGTACTTTGGAGGTGCATAATAGTCAACGAAGTAGTCCATGGTACACAGTGCGACTTTCCTCTCCTTGCATCAGCTATAGATAGATTTTTGTTTCCTGTTTCATCGTTCTGTGTGCTTGCAAATAACGCACTCGCGTGCACCCTTGGCTTTAGTACTTGTAGGTGGTATGTAGCCAAGCTTGTAAAGCATAAAGTAATATTGAAACGATTATAGGAAAAGCTCAATTTGTAAGGTAGTCTTGAAAAGATCGCTTTGTAAGGTCCCACACAGGAAGAGATTCAGCTAGCCTCAAAGAGTGTCCATCAGTCAGGAAAAGATTCAGGTATTCTTGAAAATATCAATGAACACCACCACCATGGAAGCCGCTAACACTGTTCATCTATGCTACTTGTATCAGATGCATCATCACTGAACGCAGAAAACGATTCATCTATGTATCATCATATACATTAGAGATGGCAAGGGTGGGGCTCAGAGCTACACCTGGATACGCTTGCTGTATCATCCTCATAGGTGCTGTATCACTGGCATCCGACCGTTGTGTTAAGCCCTTATTGCGCCTAGCTTCACCAATGTTATGACCCTTATGTTCTTCAAACAATAGGGTCTGAATTGCACCGACTGAGCACAGTCTTTCAACACTATGTGGGACAGGTGTTTGAGAGCCAGAGGCACGTGTGCCACAAATGGTTGCTCACGCAGTACTAACCCAGCCAGCAGCCCTTGTCTTTCATATTCGTTATAGCAAAAGGTTCGTTCAGTGTTTGTTGGGTAGGCTGCTCCATTATGACAATCTTTCTTTGTTTCAAATGTGTTCCATTTGTTTTGTATTTGTCACTTACGTCTCTTTAATGGAGCAGCCTACCCGACAAACACTGAACGAACCTTTATGACATTTGTCCATTTTTCAAATTGTTTCAAGTCCTTTTTTTTTTTTTTTTTTTTTTAAGAAACATGGAGCAGCCGACCTGTAGACCACCGAACGAACCTTTTTGACATTTGTACTGGTTTTCAAAATTCTTCATTTTTTTATTATTTACGTTTTTTGTATGTAAGAAACATGGAGCAGCCTACCTGCCAACCACCGAACGAACCTTTTGCTATAAGACAAATGAAAAATAAATATTGAACACATTTGAAGAAAGGAAAATGTCATAATGGTTTATTCAGTGTATGTAAGGTAGGCTTTTCCATTATTGAGACGTAAATGACAAATAAAAAACAAATGGAACACATTTGAAACAAAGATTGTTATAATGGAGCAGCCTACCTGCCGAACACCAAACGAACTTTTTTGACATTTGTTGTATATCAGACATTTCATTTCTTTTTTCCTACAAAAACGTCAATGCTTTGCAACATCTCAGCAGTCACCCCTTTATATCCCAGCATCATTAGCATCTTTAAACAAGAACAACATAATTTATGTGCATCGTCGGAGGCGTCTGAGAATGTGCAAGAAGCAGTGCGACCCACCATGTGGTGTTGATGTTACTCAAACCAGCGTTCGTCATACGGGACGATTTGACGCCGATCGGGCCGTTCGTTACCCAAAATATTCGTCTTTTGGGGCAATCGTTATGCGAGGTACCACTGTATTTAAATTGAAGGCTATATCACTTCCCCATGTTCCACTTTCATGAGATAAGGAGAGAGAATTTTCATTGCAAGATTTAAGTTTTCTTGGAAAGCAATATTAAAACTATACTAAACATTGAAAGCATTATTTCTGGGCTGGTCTTCTGGGACTCATTAATGCACGCTTAAATCAGTAGCTATAGCCCCTCTATACAAGGAAGGGAGCAAAGCATTGGCTCATAATTATAGACCAGTTGCACTAATGTCCCCACATAATAAAAGTATTTAAGAGAGTGATCAGCAGTTGGATCTCCAGTTTTATGGAGACGCAATGATCTCCACAACCCAGGGTAATGTGGATTTAGAGTGGGAAGATCATGTCTCTTGTAGCTACTTGACCACTATGATTAAATCTCTGAAGCATTAACCCTTAAAGTGCGCATCACGTCATATGACGTGCTGGACGTTGTTCCAGTCGACTGCGCATCACGTCATATGATGTGTTGGAGTAGTACGCAAGATTTAAACAGCCCGCGGATACACGGGGTTCACCACACCTTCATCAGGGCTCTTGTAAACAGATGCCATTTTAAAAAAAAATCGTGGGCCAAACTCCCGGGTGTTATTGGCCTCAGTATTGAGTGAGCAACCAGCCTGACGCACGCAGCATGAGCTAACAGCACTGCTGTTCAGCTTGTGACCACAGCATCGCCTAAAAATGCCAAATTATACTTGTTCATGCTATTATGTAGCGATGATATTATTACAGAAGACCCCTGACTGTGATAAAACTGACCAGGGTTCTGATAATAGCAGGATTGTGGTGATATTTAGCGCTGTGCGCCATGGAAGGAGGTGTAATGCTGTGGGAGGGAGGGTGGTGGTGATGTCTTTTGACTGTGTGTGGCCACCTTTTATTGACTGCACTCACCATACCAGCTTAGTGGTTCGCTATGGTGAACACAAATGTAAATACTTATATATAACGTGCGTATAGAGGGTATAAACAGCAAGAGAAGGTTTGGAGCCGCCATTTTGGTGAGGGCGGTGGCGTCGTCTGCACGACGCCACCGTGCAGACGACGGTGTTGTTTACTGGTTACCACGATGGTCTTTGGGCACCATACCAGTTTATTTGTACAAGTATGATGAATAAAACAGGTAGATATTTATATATGTGTGTATATAGTGTAATAACACCACACAGTATTGTTGGAGGACAAATATTAGTGCGTCTGGCCTTGAGGGCGGCCGCCGATCAGCTGACTGTGTGAGTAGCCACATCTCTGTGCCTTTACTCACCATACAAGCTTAGATGTACAGTTATGGTGAACAAAACATGTAGATACTTATATATAACGTCTGTATATAAGATATATAGCGTAATAACACCACACAGTATTGTTGGAGGAGAAATATTAGTGCGTCTGACCTTGAGGGCGGCCGCCGATCAGCTGACTGTGTGAGTAGCCACATCTCTGTGCCTTTACTCACCATACAAGCTTAGATGTACAGTTATGGTGAACAAACAAAACATGTAGATACTTATATATAACGTCTGTATATAGTGAATTATAGCAAAAACAGTATTGTGGGAGGAGAATGTGGGTGAGTCAGATGACTGGAGGGAGGGCGGGAGTGGCTGGCTGGTACACGGCCGTCACTCCTCATTACTTTTTGACTCATAATAGCTACTTAGTGGTTCGTTATAGTGAACAAAACATGCAAATACTTATATATAACCTGTGCTTATAGTGTAATAACCGACAAAGTATTTGTTCACTGATTGATGAACATAATTGAATCAACAATATGCACACCATATTTTTGAGTACACCAACGATTCACTCATTTTATTATATAAATATATCAAACTACACACTATTGAATAATATTACAGCAAAAAAGTATGAAAAATCAGAGACATTGAAATAATTCGGTAATTATCTCTTTGTGGCAACTCCGGCCTGACAGCTTGCGAGCAACAGACCGCCTGGGACGCACGCTGAGTCAGCGCCTATAATTTGCCAGACTTCCCCGCCCTATAGCAGGCAATATATGCCACTTACGATTTTTTTATTATTTTTCCCGTGATCAGTGAACACAAATTAACAGGTTAGAAAGAAAAAATATATTTTTTTTTTTCAAAATGACATGCGCCTGTGGGGATGACAGGATATTAAACCCCGAGCATGTTAAGGGTTAAAGGAAAAACAGAATGCAGATTTGAAAATGATTCAAACATTTTCCTAGTAAAACTATGATTCTCAGTGAATTAAAATTAGATCCCAATAAGTGGATGAATGAAAGCAGTCCCTTTGGGCATGGAGAGGGTTACGGGGGAATAGCATCCAGATGAACACCTATTAATAACGACTTCAGTTCTCTGAATAACGGGATTACGGAAAGGACACATTACCATAATTCCGTAGAAGACATTATCACAGGTAAATAGGCAGTTGGGGAGAGGAGACATGGTCAGGAGGTCATGAAGAATAAGAGGACTGGATCCAGGATAGCAGCCTCATTAGGTAGCCTCATTAGACATTGAAATGCAATTCTCACTCCAGTCACACACTCGGACCTTGACAAAGCACTCAAGAAAGTGCA